GGAAAATCCACGTGAGAAAAATTGATGACATGTTAAATTTTTTACTTTTAATTACTGATTTGCCCTCAAAGATTGATGACATGGTAAATTTTTTTCCTTTAATTACTAATTTACCCTCTTCTTTCTTTCTTTTTCTCTTTTTACATCTAGGCATGGGTTCGCGAGGTGCGAACCCACGTGCTGGGTTCGCGAGGAACCCAGGCTCGTGGGTGTGCGAACCCAAGAGCTGGGTTCGCGAGGAACCCAGGCTCCTGGGTGCGAACCCAGCTCAGGTTCGCGAGGTGCGAACCAAGGAGCTGGGTTCGCGAGGAGCCTGGGTTCGCACCTCGTGAACCCACGAGCTGGGTTCGCGAGGAACCCAGACTCCTGCGTGCGAACCCACGAGCTGGGTTCGCACCCAGGAGCCTTTTTCTCCTTCATATTAACACTGGTTGGTTTATTTTGTTTGTTATCTCCTTCATATTAACACTGGTTGGTTCATTTTGTTTGTTCGTTATGGCTGCCTTTTAGGTTTTGCGAACCCAGGCTCTTGGGATTGCCTGGAGGTAAAAGAAAAAAAAAGGCTGGAGGAAGGAGAAGCTGGGGAAGAAGACGAGGGTATATCAGTAATTAAAAGTAAAAAATTTAACATGTCATCCATTTTTGCCACGTGGAAAATCCACGTAATTTAATAAAAAAAAAAAGAAAGGAGTGTTTCCGTTAATTAACCTGCCATATCAACTAAAATTTAACGGAATGACTAAAAAGAGGCCGGATTTGTGAACAGTAAGGACCAAAAAAGGGATTTTTTCGGTACATGGACTAAAAAAGGGCTTTTTCCTATAGTAGAAGGACAAAAAAGGGTATTTAACCTTATTGCTATTAAACAACCTAGATCTTATTTGATAGCAGATTCACAAGGTCGTCAATTACTGTTCACGTGGAATATACATAATCTCAGGAAATATTACAGTTAGCTTATATGCCTACCTAGCGTAAAGAGAAGATCTAAAGTGTATATTCAAAGTTTAATGAATACACAATTTCTACAAAAAAGTATCTTCCCGATTGTATTTCTCTTAAATCATAATTTACAATACAGGAGAAAATATGGAAATCGTTCAAAACATCAAAACACAAATACACAAAATGCAAAAGAAAATGAAAAACCTAACACCCTAGTCATTGGTCAAGTCTACAAAGACAGATGCATCAGCATGAGCTAGAGGAGAATTAGCTGGAGCGGTAACGGGCTAAGAAGTTGGTGGAGTACTAGAAGGTTCAGCCTCTATCTTAGGCACCTCGGCCACCCAAGCATCAAAGCTTGGTAAACCCTCTAAATCCTCACTTTCTTCAAGAATAGATGGAGGCCATATGGGCACTCCATCCTCGTTCAGTTCCCATTTTAGCCGCACGGTGGTGTCAGCTAGAGAGGCAAGACTCTTACCTTGCTCGTCGATTTCCTCCACCTCAAAAAAGGCCAACTCGCCAATTAGGAAGTCTAGTCGGTGCCGTAATACCCTTATGCGAATATCGTCATAGATCTACGCTGTGGTATTCATTGAGGCAATGGCTACGGCATCCTAGAACATGTCGAAGCTGACCAGCCACTCTACCCCCTAAGCTTGGGCAATGCTTGTAGAGTGTTGGTAAAACCTCTTTGTCTTGTTCAAGGCTTTTTCAATATGGACAAGATTTTGGTTTCCCATAGCCACCCGTTGCCTCAGGGAGCTCAACTCGTTTAGAGCATTATCCCTCTTAAACTCCGCCCTCTTAGCGCATTCTTTAGCAAGACCGGCCTCATCCTTGGTGGCCTGAACGCCACTTTCCTTCTCAGCTAAAGCCTTTTCTAGCTACTCCTTCAGCTCGATTCGCCAACTCGTCAGCTCAGCTCTCAGCTGATGCAACTCTATTGGCCATCTCCAAGCTCTATAAGTGGTTAACCTCGTCTTCTAAGCTTGCCTTCTCGGTAGTTAACCACTTATAGCTTTCAGTGAGCTCGCGGGCCTATCTTCGTGCCCCTTGCTCACACTTAAACAGTGCAACCGCATAGCTAAAAGCTTGTCGCACAATTCGTACTGTTATCTACTAGTGTAAGATTTAGAAGACCTTATAACACAAATAATTGATAAAATACTTACGTCCATCAGTTTCAACATGGCAACATGACCGTCATTCTGCTGTATGTAGCCCTTGGCATGCTGTCGATCTACAAGAAGAACAAAACTTTACATATCCTATAGCATGGCAACGTGGTAGTCTAGTTTCATGTAGCTGAAACCTTCTAGGTACGCAATCCTGGGGCTAGATGCAAATGCAGATGTTGATGCCGACCCAGTCTCGGTATCGTTGCGCGCGAGGGAAGCGAGCACGTTAGATGAACATGCTACGGTAGGTTGAATGGGCTGAGTCCCAAAGCTCGTTCATCGCCAAATAAGTGGCACATCACCCTCAACATCTGAGTCCTCATGCGCACGCTTTTAGGAATCCAAAGGCAAGGCTTCAACTTTCTGCTCAACATGGGATCTTGACACCGAGCTAGAACCTTGTTCTCAATGGGACGAGCTGCGAGATGGCACCATAGGTCGCTCATTAAAACAAGTTTACCTATGCAAAGTTGGGCTCCACCCAACAACCCCGTGAATGCTGAGCCCACTCACACTATCTCTTCAAAACGCTACTCATTTTCCTACACAAACCAATGCAATAAGCCTCAGATCGACCAACAAATGAAATTTACAAAAGAAATATACCTTCGCTATAGAGGTTTGCGATATCCACAAACCCAAAAACTCCTAATTGCTTTAGGGTAACCAAGCTTTCTAGGTCTACCAACCCCTCCTTTTTCACATACGCCAACAACTGATTCTTCAAATCCATATCACGAGGTGTCAATTGGGGATAGTTCATATATGTATTTGGAGTGCGCCACTCAAAAATGTGAGCAACAAGCTCGTTATTCATCCTCTCCGTTCGCATATCACGAACAAAAATGAACTGTTTCTTCCACCTCGCTACTTTATTCTTTACGTTCTTAAAAAGTATCATCTTTTCTCTCCCAAAGATGTAGTACCACCTCATTTAGTTGCCACTCAACCGGCACTAGAACAGTGACCTAAAGACTACCGCCTTTGCAGGTATCTCTAACCTCGCACACAACAACATAAATCCTATAATAAATTTTATGTTGTTAGGGGTCAGCTGTGTTAGTGCCAACTTGTACTATGCCAGAACATCAAAAATTAGCCCAAGTAGAGGAAACAACAAGCCAATGTCAAAGTGGTCCATGTACATCGGCACCTAGCCTGATCGTGATACTGTGCATGCCCTCTCATTTATAGTGCCAGTCCAAATCAAAATTGTTTTGAGGATCTAAAATTGTCTCACCATTTCTCCCAACTTCTTAAAACCCTTTATTGTAGCAGCACCATCAGTTACCTCATGAAGCAAGGCCGCCCTAAATCTAAAACCAACAGGCAAACTCTGTGGTGCCTTGCGGATGTTGTCCAGTTTTCCACCAATGGTTTTATTCTCCCATTCTTCAACCACTGGGGCACTTTCCTCTATATTTGTCGCTGAGGGACTGCCAAGGCCTGTCCTCGCACCTTCCCCATCACTGGGTGTCACCTTAGAAGATGAACTCTTAAAGGATGGAGAATGGCGGTCACCGGAACGACCAATAGTACTGGAACTGGCGCTGCTCTCTAGAGTGATAGACTCTAGCAAGTCTTGCAACGCCGATGGCACTACCATGGCAATCGGCTCCACAGAAATGACACCCTCTTCTTCTTCCCTCTTCTGGTTACCCCAAAGTTCCCTAAGTTCTCTAAAAATGTCCATTTTTACTTGAATCTCAAGAACATAATCTCCTTCCACATGTAAGGTTTTTGAGCTACACTCGAAAAACTTCAAATGCCTCCATTGCAGAAAATGACAGGAAACACTACAAAGAGAAACAACAAAATGGTTATGTGATTGTTTCTATTCCTTTTTCTCAAAACAGGTCACACAGCCTTGATTGTCGTACGCGTGTTTCTAATGTACTAGTTAAACTTCCACACATGGCAGCTATTTATGGCTTGGCATGTAACGTCCGCTGGCTTTAGCTGTCACATTTTTTCAAATGCGAAACCAGCATTTATTGCAAATGAGGCAAAGAGATATCAACCGCCTTGAAACATATCTCCTCAGGGATTTACTTTGTTTTAAATTTTGAAAAATCGCATGGATGAGCTCGCCTCATATTAGCTCATCTTTATAGTCACATTGGCAAGCTTGTCCTACATCATCTCATCCAACTTCCATCTTTTGGGAAACCATACTTCCTCTAAACTAGATCTCCTTGGGGATTTACTCTGTTTTGGAAGTTCGAAAGTCACTATACGAGTTCATTCAAAATGAGCTCATTCAATTCGTAGACACGTCGTCTAAAATTTTCATGGGTGAGATCGCTCTAGGATTAGATCGCCCAGATGCAACCATTTCCCCAAAGGCTCGCTGGTCGAGGATTCAATCTAAATGTATAACAACTCACTTAGGTCAGGTGTTCACATTTGGACATATACTCCATGTTGTAATCTTTTTTAGCGACGACTAACTAGGTCGTTCACGAACTTAAAAGGCTGTAAACCCTGTTCTTAAAGTAGAGCATTGGGCTACAAATGTAATTCCCCCCAATTCATCAGTCGAACGCTAAGGAGGGAGTAATGTTGGGAATGGGCCCAATATTCAACCCAGGCCTTGTATGGTAGGCCCAGTTGTTTCTCCCAAAGTGCAAAGTTGCCCAAAAGGAAGATACACCCATGCACTAGCCCTAACATACCCACATGGGTGCCCGCACATGGGTCAATTGAATGGTTACACATGTAGCGTTATGTCATCACCCGAGGGGCTATAAATACCCCCACCTACCTTCGCTCAAGGTAATAACTCCATTATGCTTCTCTCTTTACAATTACTCTTGAGAGCTTCTCTCTCTAGAATATTGAGTATTGCTAACTTGAGCGTCAGAGTGTTTTCCTTGAGGAAACATCCTTGGGTTTTTCAGGTGTTGAAGCAGTTGAAGATCTCTACAGTGTAGGTTCGTGAAGCTACCCAAACAAGATGAGCCTTAGATTCAATATTTGCTACAATCAACTGAGGCTATTAGAAAAGATTACCCTGATGAAGATTGGTTGCGTTTGACTGCTCTTCTCCATCATATATTGCCAATGCAATTCAAATTCCTTTCTTTTGGTAATGATAATAGGAAATAATCTAGATATCACCAATTAGAACCTTAACCAATAATGGATAGAACAATTTGCAAGAATTATTATTAGA